AGGAGGGGTTGGTTGCGTTTTAAAAACTTAACCAACCCCAACGAAGGGTAGTTGGTCAAGTGTTTTAACCCCCCATCCGGGGGGGGGTTGGTTTAGTTTCTTACACAAGATTTTAAAACGCAACCAACCTCCCCGAAGGGGTGGTTGGTTGCGTTTTCAAAACTTGACCAAACCCCCGAGGAGCTCCGAAAGGAGCGCTCTGCTCTAGTAATTGATAAACTAAAACAAACAGCCCTAGATAATTTTCGTTTCATTTAGGTTAACAAGTAACGTATCCCTATTGGATATATAATCTCACACATTTTTGTTTTCAATTTTACATTTTTCAACATGGTTCCGAGAAGAAAGTCACACGTGATACGATTCTCACATAAAATACAGGGCTCCTAGTCTTGTCCAGAATCATATTTAGGTTTTCTCTATGCTCAGAGGCTAAACAATAGTTTCTTACTCAGCAGCCTTTGAAAATAAAAAAAAATAAACAAGTTACAATCCCACCTAGCTTCCTCCTGAGTTGCATTATACGCACAGGGAACCTTAGGCGAAAATAAATACAAACAGTAGCTTTCTTCTTACAGACATAAAATGTTATAAACGTATATAAAATTCTGAGGCTCAGTATATGTAATAACTCACATCAAATCATTTTCGTGTCCACTAAAAAGAGAGGTAGAAAATCCTCTTCGTAGATTTTAAAGATATCTTGCTAGGTGGCTTCCTTCATGGATTCTCCACCTACTTATTTTCCTCTCCTTTCTTCTTTTATTTCGTAAAGAGAACGGCCTCAAGGTGAGGAAGAAGCCATCCACTCAGTGTCCACTGATGGAAAACGGAAAAGCAACTCAGCGAAAAATGAAAGCAGAGACGGTGGGCTGGTCGACGGGAGACCCGGGAACCATGGAGGATACTGACGGACTGACCACGGCTATTTCTTTCATTTCTTGCACTGCTACGCCTTATCAGACTAGCGCATTATAAGCGCGAAAGTCATAACACGAAAGAACTGAAAGCCCACGTTTAATCTACGTTCGTATTCGACCTCATCTCGACAAAATTTGGCATGGAAAGTGTGCAATAAGAGTTGAATGAAGGATTTTATCGTGGTCTGTATCGGTGATGAACAAAAAAATTCTTGAAATGAACATTTGCAAGTCTGTATCTATAGTCTATGAGGTATCTCAAAATCAAACTCACAGTACACATAATTCAGGCCTGAGACTAGTATAAAACACACATCTCGTTAAGGTAGATAAAAGTTCATATTGTGATTTAATGGTTGTCATCAAGGCCACTGAGTAGCGAACACTGCTGATCACCTACATTACTACATGGCTTTAAATACGAGAAAACCAGAATATGATTTTAAACCTTGTGAAAACCTAAAATTTAACGAAGAAAAGAAATGTCTAAATTTTCGGGGTACATCAAATTTCTTTGAAATCAGTCCAATAGTTTCTATCACGAAACTTTCATGATATCCACATTATGAATTAATTTCATGTGTATCCTGTAAATTAAGCGGAACAGAAGCATTCATTGCAATAAATACATAAAATGACTCATAATGGTGCGATCGTATACTTTCTTCTTTATTTTCGTCCTACATTATGTTACAGCTATCAAATGACTGATCGGCTTCCGATGATACTTAGTATTCGGAGTAGAGACTACAGGTTACTAGCCTAATTTAATTTTGGTTCTAATCGGACCAACTTGACACGAAATTCAAATCGAACTTCAACGGTTCTTTCACGAACGGCTCATCGAACAGATACAAAACAAATGATGAGTAGCCTATAGACAAGGTCACTAGAATCTGTAACTTTTAAACCAGTGGTATTCAACCTTTTTTGTTCGCGTACACCCAGATATAATTTCTCTTCAAATTTGTACCCCCAAAGTTGTTGGTGTGTAATTCAAGTTGTACATAGTATATAATCTACATCTAAAATAAATTCAATAAATTTGATTATTCAGTGTTTATCATAAAATAATATATATTTTTTTAAATTTCACTTACCCCCTAAGCTGTCTTCGCGTACCCCCGGTTGAATACCACTGTTTTAAACAATATTTTACAATGATACAAAACCACAGAAACAGTACTGGTACACCTGGAAGAGATTCTTATGTGGCATCGGAGACGCGTGTAACTTGTCACGAATTAACGTTCTGTAATTCTTATGAGAGTCTACATCCCCGCAGCAGCACGTAAAGCTGTCTCGCTATACGCCACAAGGGCGCTTGGGTGGAGAGAATGTTTTGCTCCTACTCATTCTTCACCCCCACACAAAATGGAGGTGAGTGGTCAGCGTCACGACCCAGACGCGCTTCGTCCCCAGAGACAAAAACCCTGGTACCCACTGAATAGGAAGCTGAGTGTGCCCCGGGGTCGGTCTGGATGCAGAGTCTAGACGACATATTCTTTGCCCTTTCCGGAATTGAACCCTCTTTGTCCAGTCCGTAGTCATTCACTAATGACTGAGCGACCCAGTTCCATTGCAGGAATACATTCCAATAATATGAACTCAGTATTATATCGTATTTAATAAATGTATACTTTCATCCGTATTGTGTACTTAAAGGCCATTGAAATTATGCAAGGACATTCATTTCTAGAGCGCAGGAATACACTTTCTCTCATTTTAGAAAGCTATTACACATTTCTATCAACATGAGTTTTATTCACACTGAATAAATACTTTCCAAGGGACTGAATACACTGACGTTTGCATCAACCACTGAAGTTTGCATCAACCTTACCAAACCCGCCAAGGCGAATGAAACTGCTTTTGACGAGGTGAGAAAAGGACAGAAAATAAGTTGATCGTTATGATATCTTTACTGTAGATTTCGGTGTCGAAAAGGGCTCGTAAACGAATTACAAGTGCGTAGTGACCGTCCTTTTGCAAACTTCTAAATCTTGAGACGAAAAGAAGCGAAGTCATTATAAGAATTAAAATATTTTACTGATACAGAAGATTTTACAGGGTTATTAAACCAACAGATTTTAATAGCGACGAAATAAACGAATAAATGCTTCATTAAGTAGCTAGAATTAAAACCCCGAAGTTCAACACAACAAACAGCAAAGCCCACCACTGAACACGAGACCCTCAGCCAATTCTACACACCTGCTACTCTCACAATAAATTTTCTTATTATATGTCTTAATGTTTCCTCCCCATTTCTTCTCAGTCTTTCATGTTACCGCTTTTCAAGAATGTTTCCAGTGATAATTACATATGAATTTATTGTCTCCTCAATTAAAACCATAATCTATCCCATTCTAACACATTCCAAAAACACTGAGTGACCAGTAAAATTCAAGAGTTGTCTGTTAACAAATAGTACTAAAATTCATAGACATAATAAACTGATATTCTTAAGACACCATATTTAAAACGCCACATGTAGTTTTAAGAATATAAAAAATGACTATAAATTACCAAAAATCAGAATTAAATAACTGTCATATAAGCTGGTGCTATGAGGGACACAGTAGATGAACAACACATCTTACTGAAATAAATCTGTGAACTTGTGGCATGAAATGCTGTTTGGAACTGCACTATTTGTCCCTAACGACACGTCGCTCAGCTTGACACCAGAGGTTTCGTAGCAGCAAATGAACTATTTTCAGAGTGTATTGGTGAAATAGTGCGCCTTGAGCAAAATCGAAAAACCCAAAGTGCACTTCCGATAACAGCATAAACTAAGAAAGAGGCGACATAACAGCGTGTGACGTACTGTATCGTGAGGCGCGAATGTGCGAACCTCTGAACAGCTTTATGGTTACAGGATTCCTACCATGAAACTGAAGACAGGGCATAAATCTCAACAGCGACCTGTGTTGAAATACACGTTTTTCAGGTATGTGTTAAAGTATACTTTCCACTACACTTTACTATATCTTACTCATGACTTGATGCACGAGACCTAAAAATATAAGCGTTCTTTGAATAAAGTGTAAAAGTCGTTTTATACCTCCGAAACTTCTGAATGGATTTGAATTAAATGTGGTATAAATGGAATGTACATTAAAAGTTGTTTTGGAGGTGAGATTTAGGTACTCGCGGTGAAAAGAATACAGTTAGCTATAGCGTTGTTGAAATATATTAATTTCGGGACCTTCTGATCCATTGTAATGTCTACCTTAAAACGAACACAAATTATAAAAATTTTACATACTACGAAGTACACTTAACTTAAAGATTCTATGGCGGAATTTCACTACATGGTGCATAATTTTCAAAATATAAAGGAAGGCAATTTGTGACGAGGCATTTAGTTTGCAAGTATATTCAATTTGACATAACAGAAGTAGATCTGCTGTAAATCGAAATAAATCGTTCGACTTAAAGAATTTTTATATTAATGGTATTCATGTAGGGTAAGCAAGGAAGAATTCTGTAAATAACGAATAGTTTAAAACTCTAGCTAACTGATTAATATACATAGTTTTTAAGTTTGATCCTTTAGCTACATATACGAGGGTGAGTCAAATGAAAACCGTAAAACTGAGATAAAAATTCGAAATATCGCGCCATTGTCCTATAAGTTGGCAGACATGTTACCAATGCTATAAAGAGTATCCTATAGGTGGTAGTATAATGCAGACAAACATATCGCCATCACAGTGCCAATTTGAAAATGGCTGCTCCACTAGTTACGTGCACGAAAGAAGAACAACGTTCTGTAATTCGTTTTTTGATCAGTGAAGAATCTTGAAGAATCATCTTCGACCTGCAGTCAGATCAAAGCGACGTGGACTTTTGACTAGAGGTGTCCTTGACATGACAATGCTCGGCCCCATCCTGCCCGTGCAACAGTTGCAACAATCCAAGACTTGCACTTTGAGTGTCTTCCAACTTCGTAAACGCTGGAGGGCCTGTATTGAACGAAATGTAGACTATGTAGAAAAATGATATAGTTGTGTACCGCTTTCACTCAATAAATTAAATTTAAAAAAAAATTACGGTTTTCATTTGACTCACCCTCGTACGTACAACTAAAATTGGCCCATTCAACTTCAGTTTTGAGTAAGACTTATTTAAAACTGGAACTGCATCACCCGACTTAACCTAATGTAGCTGGGTGGATGGGGTCACCGTGAATGATTAAACGGATCAGTATATTGAATATCTTATTCATCACATACTTAAATCCTAGATCAGGACAGAAGCTTGCAAAGATAAAAATTTAACTTGTTATGTGCCCTCCTTCATTTCCTATCCACAAAACAAAGTACTCTTTCATAGTATATTTATCCTGGGGCTTAATTCCCTTGTCCAAAATCTTTTTTGTAATGGTCTGAACATAAGTAACAACGTATTTATTTTTCTGGAGAAAATTACTTTCCTCGTTGGCTTGTAAAATCCATAGTAGGAGCCAATATTCAAGGAACATTATGTCAATCTCTTTCCAAAAACTTTTAGAGATGTCTCAGTCTTGAACCTAGTCACAGAAGTCAAGATCTGCGATTTGTCTTCCTATCGATTGTTTATCGAAAGTCGCGTCTTCTGGCCGCCATCTGTTCTTTTACGTGTAGAAACTGAAATGTCACCGTAAGACGTATAAGGAAAAGTAACGGGACAGGAAGATACAAAACAAATTGACAAACAACTCTGAGGCACATTAATAAAACTTCCAATGAATTACTTCCATCTTAATGTTGGCCTTGAATCATTAAAATTTGTGGATTAAATGTCAACGTTATTATTATATGCCTAAGCTGACTTCAATAAACTAGCTTCGTCACGAAAGTCACTTCTCACGTGTTGGGGAACCAAAGTCAAAATTAAGTAAGGAGAAATTGTAAATTATCTTTTCATCATTACGCTCATAACAGCTTCAGAATCCAATAAAATCTCCAAGGCAAAGAAAGCCGGCTGGTAAACGAATCTTATTACTCACTTCCATCGTCCAAAGGTCTACATCTGCGGAGATTTTCCTCCATGCTCGCATACGCCTTCATAATGCTGTGCTTTGGGATGAGATATCAAGTTGTGGATTTCCATTCTGAAAACCGGAAACATAACCTCAGAAATTTGCAGCCGACATGATGTTCTTGGTGTAACAATTTATAATCTTTATTAGGTGCACAGCCTGGTTATAAAGTAACCATATGAATTTAATATATAAAAGTAATGTTTCGTCAACAGTCTTAATTAATTAGAACCTAAATTTATATTTCAGTAAACCCAAGATGTTCTTTGCAACCGATTCCATATCATTACAAGAAACATGACAGCTGTAATGTCTGGCGAATAAACAGAGTGGTAACGTAGCATAACAACATGTTATGTTGATTGATTAGTCCAGTTTATTGCCAAGTAGACATTTTCCTTGGGTAAGATACAATTACACTTCGAAGGACTTTGGTTCCCATGGAAATGTAGTTGATATATCAGTAACTGTTTATCAAGAAGAATTTTAAGGGCGAAATAATTTAAATTTCCGCCTAAAAATCACGATGGACTTACTCTAAGTTTCTTATGTGTGTTGTGGTCGGGGTAAATTTGTGCGTTCGATGCCGGTCAGAACTAAAGTGCAAGAGAATCATGGGGGGGGGGGGTGATAAGGAAGAATACACTTTCCAAACTACGAACATATTTCCCCGCGGAAGTATAAAACTCTAGAAAAAAAACTGCATTTCTCCTGCGTCAACAGCTTGCGGGTAGAAGGAAAACAAACGAATTTCTATACAATGCAAATATATTACCGATATATCAACTTGGCGAGCTATAAAGTCCTGCAACTGGGGAAATAATGTTACTATCTACTGCTATCTGTTACCCCTCTGAACTCCTCTGACCCCCTTGCCTATTAGTTCTAGAGGACGCGCGACGCACAGATTCGCTCCGACTGATGTATAGTAGCTCGCTGTCTCATTTCCTATGTAGATAATGTTTTTGGTTTACGTAGTATATGCGTTGGTTTTCCTTCTACTCGCAAGCTAGTGACGCAGGCCTGACGCACAGTTTGGTCCTGGGTACAATACCGAAGGTTTACAGGAAGTTAAATGCGAGATAAAACAAGAGCTTTTAAGTCACATTCTGGTATCTTGGACAGGGAATTAATGTTTATACTCATCTGGACCCCTTGCGCAACTTGACGGTAACAGATTCCTAAGTGTGGCCCAGTCTGATTCTGTGCAACGGGTCTGACTGAGTACGAACCTTTCTCTCTTGTTAACGGATGACGGAAACATTTAGTTTCAGAAGAAAGTGCTTACAACGCCGAATTTCACTGTAGCTGCGCAGAGTGAAGAGACAAACGCATACAGCGCACATTTCAATACGTATAACAATGCCTCATAAACAAAGTAACCACACCAGAAAACAGGCCACGACATCCGACATTACTTGTCCCAAGGTTGTCATTCATAAACATCGCACCTCATTCGATGTTGCATGACGTCACGTCAAGAGAGACCTGACTTCAGGCGACTGGCTGTCACACAGAAAAAAACTTATTCTATACATTAATTCCACCAATGATTTATTACAGTAATCAAATAATTGATGATACGGGTGGCATAACTAGGGTTGAGGGAGATACACGTATGCAATATTTTAGTCGCCAAGTCTAAAAAGAATAGGTAGCATTGGAGATTTGAGCAAAAATAAGAGGGTAATATTAAAATGAATTTTAGAGAAGCAGTGTGTGAGAACTAACCCAATAACAATAGGTTTCGCTGAACACGATAAAGTAGGTTAATAGTTAAAAGGAAGGGCATTTCTTGACCAACTGAGCTACTATCAGTTTCTCGTGAAGAGCGCAATACAGTGTAGTTGGTGGCACCCTTTAGACAATAAACTATGTCAATGCAGTGATAACCTGAAGCTGGGAATAGAGCAAACTTCCGAAACTGCCTGCATGAAATATACCTCAGGAAATATACAATTCAAAAATATTTTAGTTATGTAATGAATAAACTACTATTACAAACCTTTACAGAATCGTCAGGTGACATACTTCCCAAAAAATTAAACAAAATAACCACGAAACTCGCTGGACGTTCCAGGCTCAGCAGTCAGTCGGTACAGAACATTCAAACAACCTAGTACAACATCCTTATCTCAGCAGACCTTCAGTCCGAACACTATGGGCAAACTTTCGACAGATCAGATCAACAAATTCTACGTGACTTCTACCCATTGTACCTGATCTTCAGCATGCGAGTGGAGAGTTATGTCTGGCAGCTTGGCTTGTGACGGAACTACGAAACATTCAAGAGACAAGTTTAAGGATGACGTCTTCACGGACACTGCACAACGACCCGCATATAACCCCTTCGCCCCTCCATTCAACGCCCCTGACCACAGACTGAAAAGTATGTGAATGTCTTGTAGGCAAGACCACTACCAGAACAGGTTCCCCTAAGACTGCTTCTAGGCGCATCTGAAACTGAACATTTAAAAAATGCACTTATTACCGGAACGGATTTTGATTAAATTTCATACTGGAGAGCTAAACTTTGGTACTTTACACTAAGACATACAGGAATTTCTGAGAGCGAAAGCAATAGGATGGTCAGTGTCTTAGTTTCCGCTTTTAATTTCCCGTGTGGAGAATCCCCGCCAGGCGCGCAACCACGCGGGGATTCATCATTGATGACGTAATCGTCCAGTCAGAAACCCCGCCCGAACAAAAGCAATTTTGCCACGTATAAAACCTGGTCTCGTACAAAAGGGAAGAACACAGTTTGACGGTGTTTGAGAACAATATGCTCATCAGGCCTAAGAAGGATGAAGTGGCAGAAGGTATACTGTATACGAGAAACTTCACTCATTGAAATCTTCAGAGAATAAGAATAGTCTAAGGATGACGAACTCCACACTTACAAGTAGTGTGTGGAATGTAGCACACATGCGGCAGATGAGAACTCCCTACACAATTCTGGTTGGCAAGCCTGAAGGGAAGAGACTACTCGACAGATCTAGGCGCAGATGGAAGGTATTACTAAGTTAATAATGAATCTTGGTAAATAGTGTGCTGAATTATCGATTGGGAACACGGCTTTGGATGGGGTCTGTTGGCGAAATCTTGAGACCATGGCAATAAACTTCGAAATTCCATAAGAGGAAAGTAATTTGACGAGCTCAAAGAATATAAGCTCCTCAAGAACAACCATTCTCCATCGCTTTTGTGGGAACGTAATGACGTTTAAATTGTGCTTTATTTGCAGTCAGTTTTGACAATTCTCAAAGAGTAGCAAATAGTTGCAATTCTTGGTTTTATTTCTGGTTGAGATGTAAATTCAATGCCCAAATTTGTAACGAGAAAACAATTAGTGTATCTATCCTATAAAATTCCCAGCTCTTAATTTTGTATAATATTATTTCTTTTAAACTTAACCTTTTGTATTTCCTTCTTTCTTCCTTACTTTCATCACGCGTTGTGTAACGAGAATTTATTCATTCGATAGAGCAGTTTGAAACAAACACTGCTCTGTTTAACAGACTATAAAACATGCGGGGAAAATAATGACAAGTTTTGTATGATTGCATAATGTTTGTAAAGTGTCCTCCTTCTCTCTTGTAAGCGTCCCGACCAGTGACTAAGTATCTCGAAAAAATATTAACTTTAAATTAATTTTAATATAATGACGTAAACCTCTTTATGGTTATTCATTTATTCACTGTTATCGTTGTTACTTGAGAGTGTACTTCCTGCATAATTCCTCTTTCACCCTCAAAATTTTCTATTGTACATGTACGAGGTGCGATCGGAAAGTTTCAAGACTGTGTCAATAGAGGGCGAACCGGATGTAGTACGAGCTTCTGCCTTTAGGGATGCTAAAGCAAGCATTTGGGGAGTCCGCAATGGGTCGTGCACCAACTTTTGTGTGGCATTCACGTTTTAAAAATGGCTGAACCTCTGTCGATGATGACGAGCGTTCTGGACGACCATCTTCGAGCACAACGCCCGAAAATGTTACGAAGATTCGGCAGGCCATTCACGAAGATCGACGTCGTACCATCTACGACTTGTGCGACATTGTTGGGGTAGGCTATGGGACCTGTCAGCTGATTCTAAGGGAAGAACTCCACATGCGACGCATCATGACAACGCGCCAGCGCACACCGCCCTCAAAGTTCGGCAGTTTTTGGCCTCAAACACTATGGCCGTCATCCCGCACCCTCCTTATTCGCCGGATTTAGCTCCGTGTGACTTCTTCCTCTTCCCAATGATGAACATTCAGCTAAAGGGAAGGAGATTTGAGGCGATAGAAGAGATTCAGGCAGAATCGCAGATGGTGCTTGACAGGCTGACAAAGAAAGATTTCCAGGGATGCTTCCAGGCTTGGCAGCGGCGCTGGGATCGTTGTGTTCACTCCCAGGGGAACTACTTCGAGGGTGATGGATGAATTTAATACCTGAGATAAGTGTACGGGTTTTTATACGCGCAGTCTAGAAACTTTCCGATCGCACCTCGTATCGTATGCCCTTGACCTCCTTACTTGTCAGACAGTGAGGAAAAAATTTTCACCTCAATTTTCTTACAATACGTTCACGAGAATGCCATATCCCACTTCATTACCATACTGAAAGACGCTTTAAAAGGAATCATTTGTGCGGGAAAAGAATAAAAAAGGACGCTGTTGCAACTGTATGTTAAACAGACTATATCACAGCAGTATTTGAAGTGAAGTACATTTTAAAAAATGAGTATGGTTTAAAAGTGAATGGAAACGGTAGTAAATTACTTTCTCGAGAATAATTCGATATTGCATCTTGCTGTGTACGTAAGGTAATTGAGAGCAAATGCCCTTCTACACGACTTTAATTTTGGTGTCTACTACGTGGTTCGACATATCCCGGTCATCTTACAAATATAAGTAGCAATAACGTAATATGAAAATAACAGCTGTTCCAAGTTTTCTGCTCCTGTTTATTACAATATATTACAATAATATATAATAAAATAACAAGAAATTATAATATATTATTACATATATTAACAGCGGTGTCCGCAGTGGCCGCGCGGTCTGAGGCGTGGGGTTTGTGCGGCTTGGTCGCTGGGACCGTGGGTTCGAATCCCACTCAAGCCATGGATGTTTGTCCGCGTTTTTCTGTGTTATGCTGTCCTGTGTACAGGTAGAGGCCTTGCGACGGGCCGATCCCTCATCCAAGGAGTCCTGTCGAATGTCTATATATCAAGCCAACGAAAAGTTTGGACCCGCAGTGCTCAGGCACTTGAAGAACGGGTCGTTCCCAGTATCCCAGTATATATTAACAGCTGTTTCGGGTTCTCTGCTTCTGCTTATTGTAAGGCCGGTTTCTTCTTATATTCATATATTACGTCAACCAACGAGAAAATACGTTTCGGAATTCGCTTCCTGGGGTACAATTTTTCTCTACGCTACCAGATTCAGACAGACTCTTGGGTCTTCCTATGCACTGGGTACACGGGTCACCTCCTCTGGAGAGAAAATGATCAAGCTGTTGCAAACCACTCATCTTCATTTTATTCCGACGTTTAGAGTTTCAACGCTTTAACTCCATGACCCCATACGCCTCTATTTTTACCTGTGCATTATAATTGACTTCACAACTTTTCTCACATGATTTCATTTAAAATTAAGCAGCACGTTAAGGGACACCACTGTGGGTTGTGTCACTCTATAGTCTTCTACCCCGAAGATAAATGATATATGTTCCTCTAAAATGTTCTGAACTAACCAGAAGATCAGAATGTGTCAGAACCTAGAAAACCACGATCAACGTTTTGAAAGCCGTGAGAACCTCTCGTCTTGAACCTTAAATTTTACTAACACATAACCCCATCCTTACAGAACGCAAAGACGCATTACGAAAATAGAAGTTTAGAGAATGCAGTCATACTAATACCTGTAAAAGGTTCCATGAAGGTAAAGTTGTAGTTGTACTTGGTGATTAACTAAGCACCATGGGCACATGAGAATGGAGATAAAGCTGCATGAATTATTAATCTCGGCATCAGATGGAAGTGAGCGAGTGGTTAGATTCACTCCACTGCAAATTCACTCTCAAAGAAAGAACCCGACGGTAATGTCTGGAGAATAAAATAATGAAACAATCTCACAAATGCGAAAATTGCTGTTTTCTCAGAACAAAAATTGTTGCTGGACAGTTTCTGCGGCAGCTGACACAATATTCCTAAAAAGGGCCAGTGAGTCTTGTGGCCTGGTGCATGAAAGAGAATAAAATGTTTTTGCGTGTGTGTGGCAACGCCGGATGCAGTTTTTAAATATGAGGATGATAACTGCAAGACGGATAGGAAAGACGTTTAGTCTACCTAAAGGTATTACACTGGCATGAGAGTAAGAAATTAATTAAAAGTACGTCTGAAATTTCATACAGAATTCTTTCGAGTGCAAGTCAAATAAGCCGCGAAATGAAATTTCTTTGCTATCCGCTGTCTCCTGGACTATTTTCTCCTAAAACCTCCCGAGATCTGATGTTCCAAAAAAGGTGATTTTCTCCACAAATCTAGGTCTGTGTTTCCCATCCATATCTTCCTTGATGGACCGTTTGATATTCGCAGATCTAAGCACAAATCGTCAGTCTGAGTCTTTCCGTAATGTGAAGAGAGACCATGTGGAAAATTGGAGAATATGCACAGTACAAGGCGAGTTTAAGACTTGAGCAAATCCTTCATTCATATCTGTGTTTGGGAATGGAATAATTTGAGTATTTTACCTAGATTAATAATGTAATTCTAAGGCTTTTTCATGAACAAGTCCGTTGCTATCTTCAGCAAGTCAGGTCACCTACCTATAGTGTTTTTTATAACTTCAAATTCAATTTAGCTTATCCATTAAATCGGTGTAGTCTCTAGACTTGGTCTACGAGCGTCAATCACGGCTTTACCAATCAGTGGTACTCTGATGATTTCGAAAGAACGTTTTAGAGATTGCGCACAAACTGATGGTTTGGGTTTACTCGCTTCGCATAAAATGTATAAAATGAACGCACGATGAGGCGTTCGCCGCTGTCTTTCCGTTCGTCTGTATGCATGTTTCATTTTTCAAACAACTAATCGGAATTCGATTTCATTATTTGGAGTTAACATCATCCTCAAAATTGGTCCGCTTATTTTACTCTGGAAATGACACTCTTCTCTACACCCAGGCATCTATCTGCATAACAAGTAATGTTAGTTAGTAGCTTAGTTTATTGGTGATCGTTTATTGTTAAGGGACTTTGGGTCTTATGTGGTGTTTATGAATGTGTGCTGATATAATATAATAGTTGCCATGTTCATGTCATCGAGGAATTTTGTGACAGGTTTTCTATTTATATGATGGCCAATTACAAATTATTTATTATTAAATGA